CGCCCTCGCCGTTGTCCCTCACCTCTGGCCGGGCCCTCCGGAGGAGCAGCGTGGTGACAGTGGCGTGTGGGCTCCGGGGCCACCCCGCGCTGGGCTCCAGGGTGATGCCAAGGCAGTCCCGTGCAGGAACTGCTGCGGGCTCCGCGGCACCCACCCTGCGCCTCCCACTGCCGGTCCCTCCTCCAGGCCAACCCTCTGGTCCCCATCCCTGTCCCACCCTCTGTCCTGTCCCTTCCCAGGAATGACGCTGTGCTGTGTCCTGTCCCTCAGCCGGGCTCTGCCTTCCTTTGGGCCAAAGTGGGGAAAACAGGCTAAAATATTCATGCTGATGAGGGGACTTGGGAGGGCACCGGGGCAGCGTGGGTGAAGATTTGGGATCGTCCAAACCTTTGTGCTGTGGGGATGCCGGGAATGCAGCGCCTCATCCCACCTCTGGTGCCCCGCGGGCAGGGGGATGTGGAGTGAGCTGCGGGGCAGGATGCCAGCAGGGGCTGCGGTGGAAGAGGGACATCCAGAGGGATTCTCTCCTGCAAGGAGCCTGGGCTTTCACCGCAGCTGCTTTTAACGCAACACCTCTTGCAAGAGCCCCAGCAGGGCTGGTTGCTGGTGCAGCTCAGCTGTTTCCCAACCTTGAGGGTGTCAAAGGCTGATATCTCACTCCTCATGCCATGGCTGATAACCTCTCCCTGCCCTGTGAGGGCCCAGAGCTGAGGACACCCTCACTCCAACCCAGGCAGGTCGTTCTCCGCCACTGCAGTGCCCCCAGGAGCCATTGTGAGGGTGGGGAAGGAGCAGGGCCCCCCTGTACAAACCCCTGCCCGCAGTTCAGTGGGGAGAGGCAGCTTCTCACCACAGGCAAAGCAGAAGCAGAATTCAGCATGAGGCTGGCAAGGCTTTTGCCTTCCTCCCCTTTCCCACTCCAGCAGGGAGTGACACATCCCCTGGGCTGGGCACGGCACGGGTGACCCCACGGAACCCTTTGTGGGTGGGGTGTGGAGACGCTCAGGGTGCTCGGGAACCCTCAGGGTGTGCAGGGGCTGCGGGGCACACCGTGCCATCCCTCTGCCTCTTAGAGGAAGCTGTTCGTCCCTGCTGTTCTTGGGAAGGCTGCTGAGGTCTGTGGTGTGAATGGGAGGGACAGAGCACAGCTGATCTGTCACCATCTCTGTCCTGCTGTGCTGCAGGCATAGCAGCAGTGAAGCACAGTCTGGCACCCTGCAGCATCTCCACAAACAGAATCGAGGGCAGAGTCAGGCTGGGAGGATCCACAGTGGCTCCTCTGGTACAAAATCCCTGCTCAGACAGAGCTCAGAGCATGAGATTGTGTCCAGGGGCTTCTGGAATATCCCCAGTGAGGACACTGCACAGCTTCTCTGCACAATTTGCTCAGGACTGGGCACTGCCCAGGGCAGCAGCTCTGCCTCTCCCTGCTCTGACCCTCCCTGCACCCAGGGACAGCCAGGGACAGCCAGGGACAGCCAGGGACAGCCAGGGACACCCAAGGACACCCAGGGCTGAGGGCCCCTCTCAGCTGGGGCTCCTCTCCAGGCTGAGCAGCCCCAGCTCCCTCAGCCTCTCCTGGGCACGGAGATGCTCCAGGCCCTTCCTCAGCTCCAGGAGCTGCTGTCCCTAGCTGCTGTCCCTGCTGTGCTGAGCATCCAGAGCTGGACACAGCACTCCAGAGGTGTCCCCAGGGCTGGGCACAGGGGCAGGATCTCTCCCTAATGTGCTGGCAGTACTTTTGAGACCCCTCAGAACTTGCTGCTGGGAGCAGCGCTCCTCCCTGCTGCCAGGAGGGCAGGGCTGGGCTGCAGGGGAGGGAAATGTTGTCCCTGGCACATCCTCACGATGGCAAGTCACTGTCCTGATAGGGTTGATGTGAGCAAGGACAGGGTCTAGCTCCCACACCCTGAGGGCTGCTGCCAGGGCAGTTTGGTGCAGAAAACCTTCACTGCTCCCTTCTCCCTCCACAGTCACCTAATTCCCAGGTTTGGGGATGTGTTCCCATGGCAGGAGGAGTCCCCTGCTCAAGCACCTCTGCTGAGCCCCAGCACCTGATTCCCAAGGGGGAGTGCTCCTTCCCAGAACCCATCCAGGACCATCCATGGGGCCACCCCGGAGAAGGGCACAGTAGGGCACCAGGATGGAATGTTTCCCCAGGGCTTCCTATCAGCCCACGCTCTGCAGAGCAGGTTTCAAAGCCTCCGCTTGCTCCCGGTGTTTGCCAGCCTGCTGATGGGATTTATATTTATATTTATATTTATATTTATATTTATATTTATATTTATATTTATATTTATATTTATATTTATATTTATATTTATATTTATATTATATTTATATTTATATTTATATTTATATTTATATTTATATTTATATTTATATTTATATTTATATTTATATTTATATTTATATTTCAGCATCCTTGGGCAGAGGCACGGAGCCCTGTCCTGCCATGGTTACACAGCTCCCTGCAGGAGGCAGATGGGAAGGATCAGAACCCCCCTGGGGCTGGATTGGGCTTTGAGATGATGCTGGCAGGGGTTGGAGGAAGCAAATATCAAAGTGAAGGTTTGATCCTTCCCTTTTTTGGGCAGTATCCAGGATGACATTGTCCCTCAGGATCGCTGTGTCTGTCCATCCATCATCCATCCATCCATCCATCCATCCATCATCCATCCATCCATCCATCCATCCATCCATCCATCCATCTTCCCACCCTTTGTCCCTCCTTTTCTTTCTCCCTCCCTCTCCTTCCATCCTTCCCCAGCCATCACCTTTTGCTTTTTGGGGCAGTTTTTGCTTTACCTGCAGTCCCACCCAGCAGGTTCATGCTGAGGGATGTGTGGGGTGATGGTGGGAGCAGGACAGGGTGAGGGACACTCAAGGCTCATCCCTAGTGAGGAAAATATGGCATTGGACATCTGGAAATGTGGGGTTGGGACTGAGCCTGGAGGGTCTGCAGGGCACAGCACAGAGCTCAGCCCCTGGGAGGGAGGAACTGGAGTCTTGGAAATCTGCTGGACCTCTCCAGGCAAAAACCCTGCTCAAGGTCAGTCCATGAGGCTGCTGGGGGGGGCTCCTCGTTGGAATCAGAGTCCTGGTTTGGGTCAAAAACCTGCCCAAGACCTACCCATGAGCTCAGGAGACGCAAATCACGGGATCCAGGGATGGAGTCACATCCTGCCCCAGCGGGGGCACGTTGGACACGGTGTGTGGCCAGGATGGGGCCCGTGCCACGCTCCCGCTGCCCCCGATCCATCAGGGGCGGCTGACATCACCGCCTCCGGGCTAATCTCCCGTCCAGCAGCAGCTTCCCGTTTCCTTTCCAATCTCTGCGCTCGGAGCCGGGCAGGAAAA